GCCAGGGCTGCTGCTGCTGCTGCTGATGGAGTTGCTGCAGGAGCCGCGGCTGCAGCTGCTGAAGGAGCTGTGGCTGCAGCTGCTGCTGCAGCTGCGGCGGTAGCTCGTGCTGCAGCTGGAGGCAGTGCTGCTGCCACTGGAGGCGCTGCAACAGCCGCAGCAGCAGCGGCAGCAGCAGCAGCAGCTGCTGCTGCTGCTGCTGCGGCTCCGTTGACTGCCCTCGAGCAGCGGCCAATTAGCCAGGGCCCCTTGGCTTCGGGCGTTGGGTCATTTGCTAGAGTTTGCAGCTTCCAACTTAGGGTTTAGGGTTTAGGGTTTAGGGTTTAGGGTTTGGGGTTTAGGGCTTCAGGCTCAGGGTTTAGAAGGCCTTCGAGTTAGCTGTCAAGCGCCCGAGGCGACGAAGACACAGCAGCAGCCCTGCTGCTGCTGCTGCTGCTGCTGCTGCTGCTGCTGCTACGCCTCAGCAAGTTTTGTGTATGAGACAGTAATAAGCTCTGAAGTTTTCTCTGAAACAATAGAGAAGCTTTAAGCCTTTCAAGGATAATAGAGTTGTCGGCTGCTGCTGCTGCTGCTTCTGCTGCAGCCGCCGCTGCTGCTGCTGCGGGGCTGAAACAGCAGCGGCGTTGTTGCTGCAGCTCTGCTTTCCTCCTTATCGTTTTCTTGTCTTTATTTATCAATTTTAAGGGTTTAGGGTTTAGGGCTTAGGGTTTGAGGCTTGTCGCCCTAAAGTAGATCCTGGGGTTTGCAAGCTAGGGGTGTGCCTGGGTGGGGTTGGTGTCTTGTCCTGCTGCAGCTCCACTTTGCCTAGGGTTTAGGGTTTAGGGTTTAGGGTTTACAAATTAGGGTTTAGGGTTCATGACTACGCGTGCAAGCCTTCCAGCCTGAGGCTTGGCGTCTGGTGGCTCCGCAGCTGCAGCACCAGCACAGTTCGTCAGCCTACGAGGGCTTAGGGTTTAGGGTTTAGGGTTTAGGGTTTGAGCCTGCTGAGGGTTTAGCCCGCGCCCCCCATGCTGCTGAGGCCTAGGGTTTAGGGTTTAAGAATGGAGGAAGCCAAGGCCCTGCTTGCCAGCTGGCTCGAGGACTCAGGAGAAGAGGTAGGAGCTTAAGGTTTAGTGTTTAGGGTTTAGGGTTTGGGGTTTAGGGTTTGTGGTTTAGGGTTCAGGGTTTGCGCAGTGCGCTTGCCCAGGTGACTGCTACCTCTCTGAGCCTTGAGCTGCAAGTGCCTCTCCTCCTCGCCAAAAAGTAAAACCCTAAACCCTAACCCTAAACCCTAAACCCTAAACCCTGACCCTTGATAACCCCTGAACGTGCAACTGCAGAAGCCGCCGCGGCAGCCCCTTGCTGCAGCAGCTCTTTGCTGCAGCAGCTCTTTGCTGCAGCAGCTCGTGCATGTAGAAGCTGCTACCGCTCCTGCTGCAATTTGCTGCTGCTGCTGCTGCTGCTGCTTCAGGCTGCTGTATATATACCTGCAGCAGGAGCTGCAGCAGGGGAAGTCTTTCTTCGTCTCATTTGCCAGCACAGATGGTGACGGAGTCACGCTGCACAGTACGTTTAGGGTTTAGGGTTTAGGGTTTAGGGTTTAGGGTTTAGGGTTTAGGGTTTGGGGTCGTGTCTGCTGCTGCCTCAGGGGCTCTTCTGTCCAGCCCAACGCTGCCCCCCCTGGACTGTCTGTACAGCGCTCAACGCGCAGCAGCAGCAACAGCAGCAACAGCAGCAGCAGCAGCAGCAGGAAGACCTTGCTGCTGCGTAGAGGGAGAGGGAGAGCCGCAGCAAGATCATTTGTCTTTCCAGCTGGAGTGCCGCTCCTTTTCTGCTGCTTTTGCAGCAAAGCTGCAGCTGCAGCAGCAGCAGCAGCAGCACGGGGGGCACGAGCAGCAGCAGCAGCAGGAGGAGCAGCAGGAACTCTTCGTGCCTCCGTTTGCTTCTGTTCGGCTGCGGCAGCTGAAACGGCGGAGCAGCAGCAAGCGCGCAGCAGCAGCAGCAGCAGCAGCAACAGCAGCAGCAACAGTTGCCACTGTGGCTGCTACTGCTGCAGCAGCAGCTCGCAAGAGCCCCTCTTCGCTTCCGAACCAGCAGCAGAAGCAGCAGCAAAGGCCACAGCAGCAGCAGCAGCAGCAGCCTTCAAGGTCGGAAGCAGCACCAACTCGCGCCAGCAGCAGCACGAACCGCAGCAGTAGCAAATCAGCTGCTGCTGCTGCTGCTGCTGCCAAGTCAAAGCAGCCCAGCATAAGCGGGCTGCTGCAGCAGCGGCCACCAGCAAAAACAGCAGCAGCTGCTGCCACAGCAGCAGCTGCTGCCACAGCAGCAGCTGCTGCCACGGCAGCAGCTGCTGCGGCGTTGCGAAAGGCAGATGCTCCAGCAGCAGCAGCAGCAGCACCAGTTGCTGCTGCGCCAGAAGCATCAAAGCAAGAGGAAGCAGCAGCAGCAGCAGAAGAAAGCCGCAAAAGGAGGATATCTGAAAGTACGGCTATAGCCGCTGCAGTTCTGCTGCTCCTCCTGCTGCTGCTGCTGCTGCTGCTGTGCATTTGCCGCTCTGTTGCTGCTGCAGCTTCTGCTGCTGTTGCTGAGCTCTCTGCTCGCAGGTGCTTCCCCCGGCCCCACCAAGAAGCCCAAGCAGCAGCAGCTGCAGCAGCAGCTGCAGCAGCTGCAGCAGCAGCAGCAGCAGCAGCAAGATGATGACCCCCCAACGGACATATTTGCTGATGATGAGCAGCAAAACTGCTGCTTAAATTCCTCTTCTCCTACAGAGGCTTCCGAGCCCAGCGAGCGCTGCGGTGTACGTACACCCGGCGAGCCCCAGGCAGCAGATAGCAGCAGCAGCAGCAGCAGCAGCAGCAGCGACTCTTCGAAGCCCATTGTTATCAAGGAAAGAGTGAGTGATACGCTGTGGGCCCTTCGGGAGCTCTAAACCCTAAACCCTAAGCCCTAATTTCAGCAAAACCCTAACCCCAGCTAAACCCGAATTTGAGCTAAACCCTAATTTCAGCAAAACCCTAATTTCAGCTAAACCCTAGCAGCAAGAATAGCAAAAGGAATAAATAATTATCCACTTAATTGGGGGATTCTTTTGAAACATAAATAAATAAATATAAACAAAATATATAAAAATTTAAATAATAAAACATATTTGGACTAAGCAATAAAAGAAAATAAGTAAAATAAATTTTCAAATAATGTTTTAAATAAATGTTTTGCATATTTGCAAGATATAAATATAAAAGAATAAATATTTCAACAAATATGAATAAATACATATTTAACTTTGTTAATTATTTGAGATATAATTAAATAGACCGTTTTAAATTTTTGAAAATGTCTAAAAATAAGAGATTTAGATAATTAAATAAATCTTTTTGAATTTGAAATCATAAAAATAAATTCAGACTTTCAAATATTCGGAAATAAAGTCTAAAATGAAAATGCGGTGTACGTACACCTGAAACCTGATTTCAGGTGTCCGTACATCTGATTTCAGGTGTACGTACACCTCAGATTGGCTAGTTTGGAATTAAAATGAAATAAAGAGATTTGAACTGAGAAGAGAGAAGTGGAATAAAGAAATAGAAAATAAATAAAATTAAAACTAAAACTAAAATAAAAAAGAAATAAAATAAAATAAAATAAAATGCTTAAAAAGATTTGTTTGGCCTCTTCAGGTGACTGGCAGCAGATGCTTCCAAGAGGGAAGTTATTTGGTCTTTGAGGACTTCTCAGAGATGCAGC